GTCCCATTTTGGCTAACAAATGCTCAGCTTGACCACAGAAGTCTAACTGCACCATTGACACAGACTTTGCTAGTAGGTTTTCTTATAGTAGAACCTGGTCAGAATTCATTTTTATATGTGTGTGTATTTGAAGAAAAGTTAACTTTACATAGCTTCTTAACACTGAGGTATCTGAAGTCCCGCATCGTTAAGTTTGATATTCCATTCTAAGACTTAAGTTTTTGGATGATTTGATGATTATTTTTGTTGCTAAATAGTAACTACAGTCTTTGAGATTGTAATTGTAATAAAACTTTTGCTTAAAGAAAATTAAAGCCTGGCATTCTCACTTCCTCTCAGTTATCTTTTTTTTTTTATAAAAATGATATCCTTTTAACTGTCCCTTTCTCTGTCTCATAAAGGAATTCTCCTAAAGAGAGATCTATAATTGCAGGAAAGCAGATTTCTTTATAAAGGCTGACAGGGCAACCAAGATTTTCTGCATATAGACTGAAACGGAGCTTTCCAGAAAAAGATGCCCAAATTTTCATTTTATCAGGTTTACTTCATCTCAATTTTCTATGAAATGGGACGTCGAGAAGCAAATGATCAAAGTCCAAGAGAAGCGTGTAACCCTTACCCATGCAGTCTGGGCCCCAGTGGCCTGGGCAACACTGAGGCTGGAGGTAGTCCTTCCTACAGATATGCCGGCATCCGGGGAGAGATCGCGAGTAGGCGCCAACCTCAAACGTGTACCTTGAGAGTGAAGAGAGGAAGTGAATCCATAATCAAAGCAATGCAGTTAATTCTGGATGGTGGGGTTGCCCTAGATTTTTATATATTCTTTACACTTAAACCCATTGCTGTTGAGTCGATTCCGACTCATAGTGACCCTATAGGACAGAGTAGAACTGCCCCATAGGGTTACCAAGGAGCAGCTGGTGGATTCAAACTGCTGCCCTTTGGTTAGCAGCTGAGCTCTTAACCGCTGTTCCACCAGGGCTCCACCATTTCCTTAAAATGCTATCTTGACACAGTTTTGAGGCCCTAGCTAGAGATCAATCCATTCCCATTTCTTGAGCAGCTACTAAGTCCACTTCCCTTATCAGGTTGTCACACTCCTGGGCCACTATACACCCATCCTAATCACCGCAGGGCCAGATATCCAACAACTAGAGACATCCCCTATGCCCCCTGAGCCTGCAGAATTATTCAAAATGCTCACTCCCCAGGAAGCCCACACAACCTAGCTAGCCCCACTCTGCTTGCCATCCATAAGTCCTCTCTTACAATTTCAACTTGTTACCTTGTCTCCAGGTGTAACCCCATGTGTGACCCTGTGTCATGGTGTGCTGTACCTCCCTGTCTCTGGCAAATGTGAGTATACTAAACCTAGTTACTTTTCCTGGCCTCCCTGGATCCTCTTTCCTGCGTCCTGTCATCCCACAAATTTGTTAGAGCAACTTACCTAGATTAAAAAATATATATATGGGTTGGAAACATTTGGCCTTCTAAGTAGAATGAAACTCAATCATGAATTATTTTTAATCGTAAGAAATGGATTAAAAAATCTGGGCATGATGAAAATAGGGGTAAAATATCTAAACTGATGTCAGAAGTCAAGTTAGTAGATGAAATAAACGGCATTAGGTTGTAGGCATATGCTAGCGGTGGGACTCAAACTTGTTACTAAATGTCCTAGCAGCCAGTGCAAGAACGGAAAGATCATGGTGGACAGGACCTGTGGAATTAAAGCAAACTGATTGTTTGGGATTAGCACATTAATTGCAGGTAATGTTAATTTAGAAATTCTGTGTCTCAGGTGGCATAATGTTGTGAGCCA